ATTTTAAAACTTTTTGATTCTCGTAGCGGAATTCTCCTTTCATTTAACTTAAGTGTGTTGTCTGCGGCATTTATCTGACCGTTATACAACTTAAAAATATTCCATCCTATGATTCCTCCCATCTCTATGGGAAGATCATGGAGGACTACGTGTAGGGTACACATAAAGTTTTTTAGGGGTAATCTTATAGATCCTAAAGTTCGGCGAGCTCGCCTTTTGCGTTACGCCTTTTATTTTAAATTTTTCCCTACCATTTAGCGCTACTCCAATATCGAGACAATTCTCTTTCATTATTATAATTTTCACGCTTGTATCAGCATCAAATGTCGCACCTTCGTTTATATAAGGTCTTTTTAGAATTACTGTGGGTGGTGTGTATCTTATTTTCGATAAATTTATTCTTACTGTACGAGATAGCTGCTGCTCATCTTTTTCTTCAGCCTTAGGATTTTTACGCGTCGTGGCATAAGTCTCCGATACCTTATGCTTGTCATTATTCATACCCTCCTCTAACACTCATAACTTTCTTTTATAAAGTTCTTCATTTACAACTTTGTTATGCCCAACGATTGGGGATCGCGTCGAACATCCTGGGAGTTTAAATGCCAGGTTTTTGAGCTGTTTACCCTCGCACTTTGTCTATTAAGATTATCTCTCCTATAATCATCCCTGCGATTATCCTGATTAGAGTATTGGTTATTTCGCCTGTCCCAATGATCGTCCTTTCTGTGGTTATATCTATTATAATTATGACCTACTTTCCTGTCATTGTAACTATTTCCACCATAAGTATTACTGATATTATCATTGTTATTATAATTATTACTATCGTAGTTATATTTTTTTCCCTAGTAGCGATTACCTCGGTTGTGAGGCCTTTTACCATTATTCCCTTGTTGTCGATCGAAACTCCTATCGTTTCCATACTGACGGTAATAATCATTTAACGCCACTTTCCTATCATACCATCCTTCTTCTTTTTTTTTTCCTTTTTTTGCTTTTTTATCAACGTTACGATTTTTTATTATATCTTTTTTTGCATCTTGCCACAATGTTTCACATTCAACAGTAACATGAGCGCCGTGCTCTCGACAATACGAACGTTACTTTACATCATCCACACCGTTCCACTCGTCCGTATCTGACTTCCCAACGAGTGCGTCACTACCGATAAGGCCCACCATGGTGTCATACCGTCTCTCGGCAGTATTTGCTCTAAATCTGCCTTTTTGCACTATCATACAGCGGCGGGGACTTAATTCATTATCTACAGTAATGGCGGCTTAAATAGCCTCCTCTAGCGTTTTTGGTTGGAACCCTGCGACGTTCCAGTTGTACGGTGCCTTCAATCCGTACAGAAACGGCCTCACTGCTTCACCGTCTGATCTCATTTTTGACGCGTCTTTCTCGGCCCGCGTCAAGTATGGGTTCACCTCATGTGCCATCATGATCCCATTGTGTAATTGCTCGACTTGCCTGCAATATTCCATAATTTATTCGTTATTTTATTGCGTGACAGTTTTAAGCTCCGTTGCAAGTGTCTCTACTCCTCCCATTTTATTGAATCTTCGTGATAGAGCCAACAGAAACTCGTCAATTGAATTAAATAACGATGATCGCGTGCAGAACTGATCGTCCGCTATGCCCTACAATTGATTTTCCAAAAGTCCTATGAAATAGTTTTCATACTGGGCAGATATTGTTCCCTTTATCATCCTAAGCATTTGCTCAAATGAGGAAAACTGCATGGGGTCTCCATTATACAGTGGTATACCATTTACTGCGTTGTTTAGGTAGCCTCATATATTAAGATTAAAGCCTAAGGCTAACGGTACCCCTATTTGTTGCCTACTACTAGGAGAAAATTGCATGGTTTAATGCTAAGGGTTATCGCGTATGTTACTTTGTGTCCTTAAAAAAAATCCTGCCTGATTATTTATCGGTAGCTTGGTTGGTCGGTCACATGGAGGGAAAAGGTATTCTGTATTTGTATACACGTCATTATAATTTTCTTCGTATCCAAACCTCAGCCTATTTGTCCTAGAGTTTGATTTGATGTATAGTAGTTATAATTTTTTTCATTTTAATGCAGAGGTGGCCAATGGCAGAATGGTATAAAAGGTTGTTCACTGTTTGTATTTTCTTGTTCTCGCCGTATGGTATACTTTTCCTGCCAACTCGTTTTGCCTAGCCCTTCCACGCCTAATTGATCACGTTTTCTGTCTACCCCTATGTTCGCCTTAATCGCATTCTTTTTTAATTCTAATTTTTCTGGTGCAATTTCTGATATCTCTATTTCTGCTGTTTCATTTGTTGGCTCTGCTTATTTTGCATTAGTACTTCCTGTGTCATGGAAAAAGATTCGTTGAAACCATTCCTACCGTTATCAATCTCTTCCCCGTGGTCGGACATCTTATTTCTGTACCTTTTTTTTTTAATTGGAGTGATGTGAGCTTAATTACATTAGTTGATTTCAGTCCACGCACATAGAAATAATAGAGAAAAAAGGATTTCTATTTTATTTCCGATTCTGTATTTCTATTTTACTGGCTTCTTAAACGAGTCGAACTAGCCATTTTCGGGTTAAGTATTTTTTTTTGTACGTCGTTTTGTTAGCTAAACAACTCAACAACTCTGAGGGACAATAAGTATATTTATTTGGGAGGATAAAATGAATTATTACTTACTCTGACAGAAGGCACAAAACGATGAGCGCCAATATACTCCAAGTCATCCTTTTTGCGATGGGTCCTTTTAAAACTGGACGTTGGCTGTTGCCCTTCCTCACTTGATAGCGGCAGCAGGTGACTGCCTTGAATTTTCTGCGCCTGTTGTTGCACTGCACTATGTGTGCTTCCCGATTGTCGCTCGAAAATTCCGAAATATTACGTGTAAAAAAAATATTTTTATTTCGCGACAAAACCTACCCCACACCTAGCACTAAAACTGTTATGTGGGATTCTAAAGGTTTCAGGGTGCTTTATAACAACGCGGCAGTTTAACTTAATCAATTACTTTATTGCTATATTTCTTGAGGGAAGGCGCTTTGCGGTCTTGAGTTACTTATTCCGACTATCCTCCTAGTCCCGACGTTGTAGAGCCCTGTGGCCACTGCTGTGGGCCTTTTTATGCTCTTTCTTCCCTTACTTGTGCTCCTTCCTAATACTAATAGCGGAGGCCCATCTCACGTAGTATGTTCCATACTGTACGTGACAAGTCTTAATATAATAAAAAATTGAGGACTTTGTACTTTTGTTAAAAAACAGAATAATAAATCAGATAATTGTCACAAGAAAAAAATAGACTTAATTTTATAAAATAAGAACAATGTTACAACTTCACATTTNACTTAGCTTATCATAAGTATATTTTATTATTCCATTCAATATTTTTCATAAAAACGGATTCGTTAGAGGCCAAGACTTTTTTAGGAAATTATGACCTGTGGGATATTCCTAACAGTAATCGTGATGCAGTTTCTTAAGAGACTTGAAAAAAATTATTCAAGTCCAACAGATAGACCATAGCTATGACGACTATACTAACAAATCATTAAGTAGGTATTTTAGTATAGCGTACAGATTATTAGGAGAGACCACTATTAGAAGAAAACAAATAAGTAAACGTGAAGTTAAAAACTTTTATAATTTTTTTATGCCATTGCAAAAGAAAGGATAGTGGCTTAGAATAAAAGGCAAAATAAGAATATCAAAAAGAAATGCTTTAAAGTCAAAAGACCGGCTTTACTAGTGCTGGAAAAAGGATGCATAAATAAAAGTGTTTTATCAGATAAAATTAAGAGATAGGTTGGGGGGAGTCAAGGTAAAAGCTTAGGATGTCTTAGTAAATCTTTGTATACATAAAAATATAAAGGAATCTAAGCAAACTTCACCTCATTATAAGGAGGTCTATAGGAGATTGCTAGAGGACTATGTGCAATGACCAACACAAAAAACTTCATAATACAGATGAATATAAGGTAGTTAGATAAAAGGAAAAAATCTGTATGGAGTAAGCAACAATGATTATCTAGTGGTTTAATAGTTAGTGTGATAATAAGGGCCTACAATAGCTTTTATAGACAATGCCTGTACCTAATTAGCTTTAAAAAAATACGTTCAAATAGTCAGCTTACAAAATGACAAACAAACAAAATGACAATTTTCAGGTAAAAGACTTACTAGAAGCAAATTGCTTATTTACTAAGGAAAATGTAAAGACTACGGCTATTGGTAACTACTCAAAGAGTCATATTACTTTTGCAATCTTCTTGAATAACTCAAAGTGACAAAAATAACCCTTTAAAGAAGTTTTTGTACCATTTCGTTCAAAGGTAGTAAAACTAAAAGTATTATTAACCATGCTGCTTTTAAACTAAATCAAACGAGATAAGCTGTTAAAATAATTGACACATCCATCTGACATCAGAAAATATAACATAAAAAAGAGGCACAATCAAGCTTCTTATACGTCATTATGTAATTAATGATAGAGATTCACAAATTCTCACTAGTGTATGCCAGTTCTTAAAAAAAGCCCTTAGAAATATTAGGCATTTAATTGCAAATAAAAATATTTATTACATAAAATAGCTTGTATTACTCTAATATTAAACTATGATTATCAAGGTGTATTAAGTTGTACAATATCCAAAGTTGTATTATACAGTGGTCAACGATTTACTGCGTTGTTTAGGTAGCCTCATATATTAAGATTAAAGCCTAAGGCTAACGGTACCCCTATTTGTTGCCTACTACTAGGAGAAAATTGCATGGTTTAATGCTAAGGGTTATCGCGTATGTTACTTTGTGTCCTTAAAAAAAATCCTGCCTGATTANAAATAAAAATATTTATTACATAAAATAGCTTGTATTACTCTAATATTAAACTATGATTATCAAGGTGTATTAAGTTGTACAATATCCAAAGTTGTTCCTTTCAAACAAACTCTTCATATTACAATTTGTACGAATAATGAAACTTTTTAATTGTTTTCTAAGGAATCAGGAAAACCTTACACTAGACAGTCTTAACACTACCAGTCACTTCCAAGTAGACTTTCAAATGGTTTCTGTAAACAATGCTGTTTTATCAAACGAAAGAAGCAACAAGAGTCCAGTATTTCCTTCAAGTTTACCTGATGGACCAATCAGATTTTTAGGTGTAACGCCCAATGAAAGTAGTGAAGAAAAAAAAACTTATTCGTTCTCAGTTAAGAACACTACTCCTGTTGAAGAACGTGCAGAGCAACACAACAATGTAAGTATCTTTACCCTATCTTTAGCCTTAAAAAAAAATTATCATGTTCATATTTTCATAATAGCAAATATAAATAACTATTATTGTAGTACAGTAATGTCTGCTTTTTTTTATACTATTATGTTTTTAAACAAAAACTTTTTGACTACACCCTTATCAAACTACTGTTTTGATGATCCCATTATAGGGGGAAAGAGCCAATCTTCGTGTATCTGACCGTAACGTTGTCTTCGTAGACGTACGTGTTGAGGTCTTCGCACTGGGACAGGACTTGGAAAAATATTTTGAAAATGATAAGTAAGAGTTTGGAGCCTTGGGAGACTCCGGAAGTTATTGGTCGAGGCTCCAAGGGAAAGTCAGCTAATTTAAGACAGATCAATCTGTCCGAGAGGTAAAATTTGACAGTGCCGATAAGGTAGTGCGGAAAGCCTAACCGAATAAATTTGTAGAAGAGAGCCTCGTGCCCAACTTTGTCAAAGACCTTCTGTACACCTATAAAAGCTATGGTGGCAAAGTTCTGGTAAATGAGGCTATTGAAGAAGTCTTCTGTGACTCTCAGAAGCTGAAGTACAGCCGAATGTCTGGCTCTGAAGCCGTACTACACGTCTGAAAGAAGGCCATTTTTTGTGGTGTGCTTATTTAGGTGGGTAAGGATGATGCTTTTTCTGACTTTACTGGGCAAGGAGAGTAATCTAATGGGGAATTACCAGGACACTGTTAAAAATACTGTCTTTGCCAGGGATTTTTTGGGTTCTCAGGAAGTGGATAATACAGAGGTATTGTGTATGTAACTCAGCTTTCAAACACAGCACACTCTTTGAGATAAGAGTATCTCAAAGAGTGTGCTGTGTTTAAATGCTGAGTTACATACATTTTTTAGAGGTTATATCCCTTAATTAATTAAATATTTTTTTAGGACTTTTCCATATATTTAAGAACTATTTAACATTTTTTTCAAAGTTACTACAACCGTGGCTTTTATTTCGGGGCTTAATCTTTTCAACTTTGAGAATATATCCAGCACTTTAAACAATTATTTAAGTTTCTCTTCTTCTTTACCGTAATGAGGCAACCGTAAAAACCACTGTAACTGATTCGCTAGGTGCTTTAACACTTACCAAGTTATAGCGACCCTCTATCGTGCTCGAGAGACATTTAATCATGTGACACAGATCACAAGCCACAGCTAATCTTTTCTAATCTTACGACGTTATGCACAAAAATAACACTTTTTAAGGTAATTAACAATTACTTAGGGTCAGGGTGACTTAGCTTATCATAAGTATATTTTATTATTCCATTCAATATTTTTCATAAAAACGGATTCGTTAGAGGCCAAGACTTTTTTAGGAAATTATGACCTGTGGGATATTCCTAACAGTAATCGTGATGCAGTTTCTTAAGAGACTTGAAAAAAATTATTCAAGTCCAACAGATAGACCATAGCTATGACGACTATACTAACAAATCATTAAGTAGGTATTTTAGTATAGCGTACAGATTATTAGGAGAGACCACTATTAGAAGAAAACAAATAAGTAAACGTGAAGTTAAAAACTTTTATAATTTTTTTATGCCATTGCAAAAGAAAGGATAGTGGCTTAGAATAAAAGGCAAAATAAGAATATCAAAAAGAAATGCTTTAAAGTCAAAAGACCGGCTTTACTAGTGCTGGAAAAAGGATGCATAAATAAAAGTGTTTTATCAGATAAAATTAAGAAACTGGTCCGATGAATAAGACACTTTCGCTTAAATATTTTAAGTACATTTATATTTATATTTTTTTACAATAATAACGCTTTTCATGACTTGTGAAAACATGATCTTGTTTAATTAACATTTGTCAAAAAATAAAACAGTGTGCTGTACGATTTAGCCACAATGTGCTTCGAATACATTTCAATACATTTAACCCTTTAGTAGCACATGCCATAAATTTGGGCCAGCTTTATACGAATCCTTGATTATTAATAATAAAATTTTTTTTAAACAGTCCAAACAGATCGAGAAGAAAATTTTTTTAGAAAGTGTATTCCAAGAGGTATTGAATTAAAATTAAAACTATGTTTCAGATTGTGCGTAACCCTGACGTTAAAACTGCTGCAATTATATGTTTCATACGGGCTAAAAAAAGACGTATATAGAGACATTAAAGTTCATGAAGTCATGAAATAAAGATAATTTTTTTAAATGTCAGCTTTTTCTTAATACAAAGTCTATGCACATCATACTCGCATGACAAAAATACTAAAGTTATTGACAGATCATTTTGCCCTGAGAAGCTTTCTCCTACCACTTAAGAGTAAGGGTTGGATAATGAGCATGATATAGTAAAAATACGTAAAAACAAACAAAAATAACTTCTCTTACCAGCAAAGAAGGTATAAATACAGAATAATACGAGGAGACTGAGCAACTGTCACGGTCTGAGACTTAAAAACCTTTTACTTAAAGCTGCTCTTACGAAAGATACAACAATTAAAGTAATGTAACGAGTACTTTGGGCCTGGTTGTATGAAGATATAGTTTATGTTGTCCATAGAAACCATAGCTAAATTATATTTGAATGTTAACTTGTTTTGAAAAACTTACGTACTTATAATTAAGTTGTTCGTGCCTACTTTTTTATTTGTATTGTTGTCTAAAAATTTAGTTTAAATCATTTTAAAAAACGTTCGTTGGTGTTAGTAATATTCCTGATCAAGCAACCCCACAACCTTTAAGTTAAAGTCCTGTGTAGAGTTACATAGTGAGCAAAAAACGCTGACCTCTTATCTCTATTCTCTAAATATCGTTTATGTCTTTTTTAGGCGCAAGCATAGGGGCTTTCACTTTTTCTAATCTACCACTTACGTTATACATTTACGTTATATCATACAGACAATGCTGCTTCCTTGCAATACATCAGTCTTATCTGGTTCCAATCTAAATATGTTAGTAAATTTGACTGAACTAGAAAAAAAACTTTTGAACTTAATTTATATGGTGTCTTGCGGATGGTGATCTCAACAGGCAAAAACTAGTAGTAGGAATGATCTTGAATGAATTCTTCTATAGGTTGTTGAGTAGAAAGAACAAGAGTGTCTAAATTTATAAGGCGTTCTCAGATAAAAGCTTACGATATTTATTGATGTTTCTGGATTTAAAAGAAAGGTCTGCTAATTTTTTTTACTTTATTAATAAGTAAGGAGATAACGTTAATTTGTTAAAAAATTAGATGAGTTGGATTGCGTGAAACAAATTTAGATGACTAACTTAATGCAAAGGTTTTCAACAAAAATCTTTCAGACTTAAGAAGTTCAACACACGTATTATACATACATTTTTAAATGACATAGAATTATAAATTAATTTTAATTGTTGTCTTTACGTTGGGATGGAAACCATCCAAAAGTCGTAAGATCATAATAATTAAGTCCATAGTACCATTTAGATTTCAAAAAATATCAACGATATCATTAACTTTTCTTGTAAAAGCAAAAACGAATTTTAACTTTTTTTATTTAATAGTCACACACATAAACAGTCTTGTAGTACCTCGGTGGAAAGATGAATTTCTCTAAGTTTCGCAAAGGTAATTCTGCATTGTTTAGAGACTACGATCTTTTCCACATGTACAGATCTCGTTCCTTGATATATGCTTTATACACATAAATTTCTTAAGCACAACGAATTGATGTAGGAAATCTATAGCGTTAGGTAAATAATTGAACTTTTTCTTACAAAATCCAATTTGCCTACACATTACTATCATCTTGTCACTTATTAGTAAAGTGTTGATATGAGCAGACTCTCCTTTTGGACGCAAAAACATTTGTGACGCTAGTCAAATTCCATCCGCAAATGCTTATTCTGCTCCGTTTATCAATAAATTTATGAAGCTGGCATAAGTTTTCTCAACAGACAAATGGAAACATACCAGAGTTTATATCAATAAAACTACCATCGTGAAGTTACTTCAGGTTGTCCTTGTCCTATTGACTCAATAACACGCAGAAAAACATGTATGATAATTCCTTACTTCGATCCCTTTAAGATAAACATAAGTATTACACTATCTAAAAGGAATTTTTGAAGTTTTTTTCCAAGCCAACTAACTAATAGCCGTAGGTCAGAAAAAGACAAAATAGGTCAATTGCAATATGAATAGACAGTAAGATGTAAAAAAAAATAAAACGCTTGAAATTTTTTTGAACCAAATTAAAAATAATATTGGAATTACAAATGTTGTTTAATTCTAATTTCTATTTACAACATGTATTATATCTCTTTGTATCTCAGTCTAGAGTATTTCTTCCATTCTCTTATATGTGGTCCCTTTTTTTAAAGAGCCACCTCAACTAAGGGAGCCGTTGGTAAGGACCATGTCTATTACACATCTCACTTCTGTTGCTCTACATACATGTTTTGTTTGCTTTTGATAGACGTTGTCTTTGTTTGTTTATATATACATTACCAAATATTATTGTAAATATGTATTTTTTCTTCAAGGTAATGTACAATTTAAAACATCTGCACAGTAATTTTCAAACATTTTTTTTTATTTTACTCAGTTTTTAGTTTTCTTCAATCGATCTTCACATTATTTACAAGTGTATCTAGATATATATGTATACATATATATTTATATCTATATATTGTTACGGGGTGGACCACGCGGATTGACGAGGCGGAGTCCCTCCACTTCGACCGGGCCTGGGTTGCCCGGATACCCAACGGTGACACTCCCTGTAATATATTTTGCGAGTCTCGTTCGCCGAGACACCGCTGTTGGATCAGGTATCGCGGTGACCTTACACGTCGTCGCCTCTCGCGACGACTATAACACGGCACAACGGGGGATCGGGCACACAATGAAAGGAAGTAGCACTCGCGGTTATTTTTTTGTTAATAAAAATGTATATTCAAGAAATATGAATTGATTACAAGAAAAGGTATTCGCGGGTGTGTGTGTGTGTGCGTGTGTGTGTTTAATTCTCGCACGTCGAGCGCGCTTGCTC